GGCATAGGGGATGAGCGAAAGGGGGCATAAGATCCATGTACGGGAGGCATAGGGGATGAGCGAAAGGGGGCATAAGATCCATGTACGGGAGGCATAGGGGATGAGCGAAAGGGGGCACAGATCCATGTAGGGGGGCATAGAGGACGAGCCAAAGGGGGCACAAGATCCATGTAGGGGGGCATAGGGGATGAGCGAAAGGGGGTATAAGATCCATGTAGGGGAGGCATAGGGGAAGGGGACGAGCGAAAGGAGGCACAAGACCTACGTGGGGAGGCATAGGGGACGAGCGAAAGGAGGCACAAGACCTACGTGGGGAGGCATAGGGGACGAGCGAAAGGAGGCACAAGACCTACGTGGGGAGGCATAGGGGACGAGCGAAAGGAGGCACAAGACCTACGTGGGGAGGCATAGGGGACGAGCGAAAGGAGGCACAAGACCTACGTGGGGAGGCATAGGGGACGAGCGAAAGGAGGCACAAGACCTACGTGGGGAGGCATAGGGGACGAGCGAAAGGAGGCACAAGACCTACGTGGGGAGGCATAGGGGACGAGCGAAAGGAGGCACAAGACCTACGTGGGGAGGCATAGGGGACGAGCGAAAGGAGGCACAAGACCTACGTGGGGAGGCATAGGGGACGAGCGAAAGGAGGCACAAGACCTACGTGGGGAGGCATAGGGGACGAGCGAAAGGAGGCACAAGACCTACGTGGGGAGGCATAGGGGACGAGCGAAAGGAGGCACAAGACCTACGTGGGGAGGCATAGGGGACGAGCGAAAGGAGGCACAAGACCTACGTGGGGAGGCATAGGGGACGAGCGAAAGGAGGCACAAGACCTACGTGGGGAGGCATAGGGGACGAGCGAAAGGAGGCACAAGACCTACGTGGGGAGGCATAGGGGACGAGCGAAAGGAGGCACAAGACCTACGTGGGGAGGCATAGGGGACGAGCGAAAGGAGGCACAAGACCTACGTGGGGAGGCATAGGGGACGAGCGAAAGGAGGCACAAGACCTACGTGGGGAGGCATAGGGGACGAGCGAAAGGAGGCACAAGACCTACGTGGGGAGGCATAGGGGACGAGCGAAAGGAGGCACAAGACCTACGTGGGGAGGCATAGGGGACGAGCGAAAGGAGGCACAAGACCTACGTGGGGAGGCATAGGGGACGAGCGAAAGGAGGCACAAGACCTACGTGGGGAGGCATAGGGGACGAGCGAAAGGAGGCACAAGACCTACGTGGGGAGGCATAGGGGACGAGCGAAAGGAGGCACAAGACCTACGTGGGGAGGCATAGGGGACGAGCGAAAGGAGGCACAAGACCTACGTGGGGAGGCATAGGGGACGAGCGAAAGGAGGCACAAGACCTACGTGGGGAGGCATAGGGGACGAGCGAAAGGAGGCACAAGACCTACGTGGGGAGGCATAGGGGACGAGCGAAAGGAGGCACAAGACCTACGTGGGGAGGCATAGGGGACGAGCGAAAGGAGGCACAAGACCTACGTGGGGAGGCATAGGGGACGAGCGAAAGGAGGCACAAGACCTACGTGGGGAGGCATAGGGGACGAGCGAAAGGAGGCACAAGACCTACGTGGGGAGGCATAGGGGACGAGCGAAAGGAGGCACAAGACCTACGTGGGGAGGCATAGGGGACGAGCGAAAGGAGGCACAAGACCTACGTGGGGAGGCATAGGGGACGAGCGAAAGGAGGCACAAGACCTACGTGGGGAGGCATAGGGGACGAGCGAAAGGAGGCACAAGACCTACGTGGGGAGGCATAGGGGACGAGCGAAAGGAGGCACAAGACCTACGTGGGGAGGCATAGGGGACGAGCGAAAGGAGGCACAAGACCTACGTGGGGAGGCATAGGGGACGAGCGAAAGGAGGCACAAGACCTACGTGGGGAGGCATAGGGGACGAGCGAAAGGAGGCACAAGACCTACGTGGGGAGGCATAGGGGACGAGCGAAAGGAGGCACAAGACCTACGTGGGGAGGCATAGGGGACGAGCGAAAGGAGGCACAAGACCTACGTGGGGAGGCATAGGGGACGAGCGAAAGGAGGCACAAGACCTACGTGGGGAGGCATAGGGGACGAGCGAAAGGAGGCACAAGACCTACGTGGGGAGGCATAGGGGACGAGCGAAAGGAGGCACAAGACCTACGTGGGGAGGCATAGGGGACGAGCGAAAGGAGGCACAAGACCTACGTGGGGAGGCATAGGGGACGAGCGAAAGGAGGCACAAGACCTACGTGGGGAGGCATAGGGGACGAGCGAAAGGAGGCACAAGACCTACGTGGGGAGGCATAGGGGACGAGCGAAAGGAGGCACAAGACCTACGTGGGGAGGCATAGGGGACGAGCGAAAGGAGGCACAAGACCTACGTGGGGAGGCATAGGGGACGAGCGAAAGGAGGCACAAGACCTACGTGGGGAGGCATAGGGGACGAGCGAAAGGAGGCACAAGACCTACGTGGGGAGGCATAGGGGACGAGCGAAAGGAGGCACAAGACCTACGTGGGGAGGCATAGGGGACGAGCGAAAGGAGGCACAAGACCTACGTGGGGAGGCATAGGGGACGAGCGAAAGGAGGCACAAGACCTACGTGGGGAGGCATAGGGGACGAGCGAAAGGAGGCACAAGACCTACGTGGGGAGGCATAGGGGACGAGCGAAAGGAGGCACAAGACCTACGTGGGGAGGCATAGGGGACGAGCGAAAGGAGGCACAAGACCTACGTGGGGAGGCATAGGGGACGAGCGAAAGGAGGCACAAGACCTACGTGGGGAGGCATAGGGGACGAGCGAAAGGAGGCACAAGACCTACGTGGGGAGGCATAGGGGACGAGCGAAAGGAGGCACAAGACCTACGTGGGGAGGCATAGGGGACGAGCGAAAGGAGGCACAAGACCTACGTGGGGAGGCATAGGGGACGAGCGAAAGGAGGCACAAGACCTACGTGGGGAGGCATAGGGGACGAGCGAAAGGAGGCACAAGACCTACGTGGGGAGGCATAGGGGACGAGCGAAAGGAGGCACAAGACCTACGTGGGGAGGCATAGGGGACGAGCGAAAGGAGGCACAAGACCTACGTGGGGAGGCATAGGGGACGAGCGAAAGGAGGCACAAGACCTACGTGGGGAGGCATAGGGGACGAGCGAAAGGAGGCACAAGACCTACGTGGGGAGGCATAGGGGACGAGCGAAAGGAGGCACAAGACCTACGTGGGGAGGCATAGGGGACGAGCGAAAGGAGGCACAAGACCTACGTGGGGAGGCATAGGGGACGAGCGAAAGGAGGCACAAGACCTACGTGGGGAGGCATAGGGGACGAGCGAAAGGAGGCACAAGACCTACGTGGGGAGGCATAGGGGACGAGCGAAAGGAGGCACAAGACCTACGTGGGGAGGCATAGGGGACGAGCGAAAGGAGGCACAAGACCTACGTGGGGAGGCATAGGGGACGAGCGAAAGGAGGCACAAGACCTACGTGGGGAGGCATAGGGGACGAGCGAAAGGAGGCACAAGACCTACGTGGGGAGGCATAGGGGACGAGCGAAAGGAGGCACAAGACCTACGTGGGGAGGCATAGGGGACGAGCGAAAGGAGGCACAAGACCTACGTGGGGAGGCATAGGGGACGAGCGAAAGGAGGCACAAGACCTACGTGGGGAGGCATAGGGGACGAGCGAAAGGAGGCACAAGACCTACGTGGGGAGGCATAGGGGACGAGCGAAAGGAGGCACAAGACCTACGTGGGGAGGCATAGGGGACGAGCGAAAGGAGGCACAAGACCTACGTGGGGAGGCATAGGGGACGAGCGAAAGGAGGCACAAGACCTACGTGGGGAGGCATAGGGGACGAGCGAAAGGAGGCACAAGACCTACGTGGGGAGGCATAGGGGACGAGCGAAAGGAGGCACAAGACCTACGTGGGGAGGCATAGGGGACGAGCGAAAGGAGGCACAAGACCTACGTGGGGAGGCATAGGGGACGAGCGAAAGGAGGCACAAGACCTACGTGGGGAGGCATAGGGGACGAGCGAAAGGAGGCACAAGACCTACGTGGGGAGGCATAGGGGACGAGCGAAAGGAGGCACAAGACCTACGTGGGGAGGCATAGGGGACGAGCGAAAGGAGGCACAAGACCTACGTGGGGAGGCATAGGGGACGAGCGAAAGGAGGCACAAGACCTACGTGGGGAGGCATAGGGGACGAGCGAAAGGAGGCACAAGACCTACGTGGGGAGGCATAGGGGACGAGCGAAAGGAGGCACAAGACCTACGTGGGGAGGCATAGGGGACGAGCGAAAGGAGGCACAAGACCTACGTGGGGAGGCATAGGGGACGAGCGAAAGGCGGCACAAGACCTACGTGGGGAGGGCTGGTGAGTGGAAAGGGGTGGCTGGTCTGTGAACTCGGATGTTTGTTTAATTGCAGATGGGACAGAGTGCCTGTGGGGCGCTGTTGCCGTGGGGGCACCGGAGCAGGCGGGTCCAGCTGGGAGATGTGCTGGGTTCACCAGGGTCAATGCAGCTGCCAGCCTTCTCTGCAGTGCGGTGCCATTCATGGGCCACGTCCTCTCTTGTCAAGATGAAGCTGGGAGACACAGAGCCGTCTGGTGGGAGCCCCTGGGGCTCAGCTGCGCCTGCGAGGGATGCCCTGGCTAGTGCACTGGGCCCGGCAGGTGCTGAGTCAGGAAGCGGATCCAGGCTTTGGGCTGGGGGCAGGAGCTAATCCACTGTCGGGGCAGGGGCATTCCTCCGCGCAGAGTAGATGTGAATGGCTCACGGGGAGATGCAGGGAGCCACTTTGGAGCGAGTGCAGGGCGAGAGACCAGTGGACGGCTGGTCCGCACCCTCTCCAGTGGCCTAGAAGACAATGGCCCCATGACACAAACAGGACAGCCCTCTTGGGAGAGCTGGCAGGGAGACACCAGCACCCTGCACCCTGACCCCTCTCCTAGTTAGCAGCTGTGCTGGCCAGGGGAACCAGGGGCAGTCTGAGAGCTACTCACCTTTCTTTTTGGGGTGAGAAGAGTCCTCTGAGCCGTGCTCGTCGTCACTCCAGCCCAGCGCAGCCAGCAGCAGGAGAGAGAACCCCAGCCTGGTGCGGCTCATCCTCCAACAAGTGCTGGCTCAGAGGTGGCCCCACTTCCCTGCAGAGCCTGCCTCCGGCTGCCAGAGGAGCAGCCAGCTGTGCTGGGCTGGGCAGCCGGCGCGGAGCTGTGTCTACGTGAGAGGCAGAGAGGGAGGGCAGGCGAGGGAGGGGGCAGTGAGTCACACGCCTTTCTTACCTTTTATAGAGGCTGCAGGCAAAGTCTGCAAGGCAGGTGAAGGGTGAAATACAGGCTGCACGGGGAGGCTGCCTGAAGTTCATTGCCGTTCCTTCTGGGGGTCTGGGGTGGGACAAGAGAGTACAGACACCGAGCCTGCACTTGGACTAGAGCCATGGGACACTCCAGAGATTGAACAGAGCTTGCATTTCCGCCACCCTACCAGCCAGGCAGCTCAAACACCCCTCGACCACAGCTCCTGTCCCCAAACAACGGGGCTGGCACCGACCCTCTGTGAGCCCCACAACCACAGCTCCTGTCCCCTAACAACGGGTCTGGGACCGACCCTCTGTGAGCCCCACAACCACAGCTCCTATCCCCTAACAACGGGGCTGGAACTGACCCTCTGTGAGCCCCACAACCACAGCTCCTGTCCCCTAACAACGGGGCTGGGACCGACCCTCTGTGAGCCGCACAACCACAGCTCCTGTTCCCTAACAACGGGTCTGGGACCGACCCTCTGTGAGCCCCACAACCACAGCTCCT